TCAAAGGTAATTAAAGGAAAATAACTGACTTTATATTATTCAAACTCTGTGGATTTTGGATTTTATTTCTTAATTTACATAGCAATTGAACAAAAACGAAATAAACCAGACTTATGGGCCGTTTACCAAACGCTTACGACAAAATTAAGCATTATGACTTACTTACCAGGTAAGATTTTAATACACCAAAATGATATCAAATACAACAATTTATCCGGTAAGCGTTAACCATGGTAAAAGTCATCGCTCTTATTTACCGAATAATACTCTCGGCACTTGCCTTTGCTTTTACCAGGTAAGATTCATCATAATACTTATCATATTCATCCAGTAATGTAACATTACTTAATAAGCGCTTACCCAAGTAAACGTTTGGTAAACGAATCTTAGGATGTTTCAATTAAACATGAATTATTGAATTATATGATAAAACATAAGATTTAAAATATGTATTTAAAAATGGGGTTAAGAGTATATGTGAAAGAAACATGTGAGAGTTGATTTAATAATGGATTTGTGTTGCTTAATTTGTGAATAATAATTAAATTGTAGTAATTGATGATAGTTGACTCATGTCTCTATGTACAAAAATCCAGGCAATTAATGCTATATATATATATATATATATATATATATATATATCACATGCTTATAATTCACTCCATTCATCTCTTTTTAACAACTCCATTAAATACTTGTACTAATTTCTATGAAAAACTAAAGCAAAATTCATCAAATTTATTTTTAATCATTTTTTAAATTAAAATTTTATTTTAATTAAATTTTATGCAAATAATTACGTATTTGCATAAAGTCTATTTTCAGATTTAAAAAAAAAAACCGTTTTACATAAATTTTCATTAATAATAGCATACCCGTTTACGTAAATAGCTTTTTTCTTTTTAATTTGAATTTGAAAATGGACTTTATGCAAAATTTGTAAATTTTGGCTAAAAAGGGTTTGTGGCGTAACGGTATGTAAATCTTTGGCCTCCTAAAATGTCAGAAGTTCAAATTTCACCAAAGGTAATGAGGGTGTGTGAGTTTATTAATTATATTTGTCGTATGTAAGTATTATATCTATACTATATTATAAAACATTTGACAACAACTCTTAAAAACCATTTTTTATGCATTAAGTATTGTTTATTAATGCATATCACTTAAAACTCAAGATTACAAGTAGATTATGCGTAAGTACAACTTATTAAAACTTCATATATCAATTCGTGTAACTAACTACAAATAAACATAATCAAATACAAGATAAACATTTCATTTTAAATATTGAAAATCTAAATATAATTAAGATAATCATTGAGTTCTAACAGAATACCTAATTTTTATCTTTATAAAAT